CTCAGCCCCGGGCCCGGCCGGCTCCCCTCAGCCGGGGGCTCCGGCCCAGCCCCGCTCGTACCTGGCAGCAACAGCGGCGGCGGCGGCCGGAGCGCCGGTGCCCGGCCCCGGCACATCGCGACCCCGGGCCTGCTCCCCGCTCGTCTAGCGGGTCCGCTGCCGCCCGGGCCGGAAGCCCTACGCCCGTCGCTCCTCGGGACTTGTAGTCCGGCGCGTCCGCCTTCCGCCCGTTGCTCGCCGCGCCTCCGTGACGTTCGGACTACAATTCCTAGCAGCCCACGCAGCCGAGCGCTGATTGGCGCTTTCCCAGTCACTCTATGTTACAACCACTGTTGCTACTGGCTTGGCCCGGCCTCCTCCAGGGTCCAATCAGACGACGGCAGACCACCGCCTCGGGCCACGCTGCGCCGCGCGGCGCCATTGGAGCGAGGAAAGGCGGCGACCAATGAGCGTTGAGAGAGGCGGGAGAGCGATCACGCCAACGGCTCGCGATTGGCTTGTCCGCAGGCAGCCTGACCAATAGCGACGTGGGGCAGCTATAAAGTCGGCAGCGGAGGGACGCGCTCCCTTTTCCAGCGGGGAGGTGAGCGGGAGCGGGCGGCGCGGGTGGTAGCCGGGGGGCGGGCGGCGGTAACAGGGGCGGGCCGGTGATGATCTCTATCTACCTTTCTGACACCTCGTCTGAGGGCGGCGGGCGTCCGCAGCCCCTGCTGACGATCCGTGGCTGAGGCCCGAGAGAGCCCCGGTGGGGCCGGGGCGGGTCGGGGCGGCCCGCTCTTAACTGCGCCGCCTTCTCTCCTCAGGGCTCGGCGGGAACCGGATCGCACCGGTGTGAACCGGATCGCGGCGGCCTGAAGGGCGGTGAGGCGGCGGCGATGATGAACGGAGGACATTCCTGGGGGTCCCGGGCGGTGCGGGTCGGGTACCGGCACCCTCCGTGCCCGAACGGCGGGTGGCCGCCGGCTAGCCCTGCCTGCTGGGAGGCTGCCTGGCCCGCAGGGCGGGCTGCTCCCGCCGCTCCGAGATGGTTAAACGCGGTATCGCTTGTTGCTAACGGACTAGGCCGGTATGGGGTGGTGAGCCACAGGCAGGGTGACCTTATCCCCACCGCCCGTAAGCTGCATCAGGAAGCTGCAGGGAAAGCACGAGTGGGTCTCAGGCGGGTGAAATTGGGGCTGGAGTAACCACTTCGTGCCTTGGCGTAGCTGCTATTCAAGGGATAGTGTAGGCTGCAGGCTCTGGAACGGATCAAGTGATGCAGTTCTGAGTATGGCTAAAAAGTGCGCTCTTTATGGGCTGCTGTATCAAATGGGGAAGCTGCTGTTTCTCATGCTGTGCAACTTGCGAGTCAGGGCAGTTTTTAAAGTGCAGAGAAGCAGCTGCAGAATTGGCTGAAGTATAGGAATCAAAAGTCATTGACTTCTACTCTACCACATGGGGTAGCTTAAGGTAAACATCATGGCAGGTGGTGGGTGCAGTAGTGTGGGTAATGGAAAGGATTCACAGTCTGAATTCCAGTGCTAGATCACATAGACACAATTTAAATCTGGGAGTCCTTGATGCTAACTCAACTTTTTGGAACATAAGTTGCTCAGGTAATGTTCTTTCCCCAGCCTCAAATCAAATGCAGCCTTGTAATTCTTGAATTGTTTGCTGCTGTATCTCCACTTTGGCTTCTGTATTAGGCCAATTTTATAGCTTACAGATTCAATAAAGTTTTCAAAAGACTTATTTTGCTTTTGCTTCTGTTCTTTACAAATCCCATGGGTGGCATGTAAAACCACAAACCAACTTTAAACTGCATTTGAGCACCCAGCAGACCATCTCTGCCATTACTGTTCACTTATGGGGAACGAGAGCATCTTCAAAGATGTGTTGCAGCTCAGCTTAGCCCAGCTCCCTTTAATTTTTTTGCTGGGTGCATTGGAGGGCCTGAACCCATGCTGGTAATGGAAGGATCTGGATGGGCTCAAGAATGAGCTGAACTATTTGAATGATTAAACAGTGCAGGTGTGTATGTTAGACAATCAAAATAGCATTGTAGCCACAAAGATTATTAAAAAAATTTATTAACAGGAATGAAACAAAAGCTGTAAACAAGAGCCAGCAAAAATGAGAAGTTGCATGTAATGCTGAGTCCTCTGGCTTGTTTGAATGCACCAAACAATTCTTCATCACTTGGTGGCAGTAAAGGCCCGTGTGAGAAGATGCCAAAGAACAGTCTGAGGAAGAGCTTTAGGGCAAGGTCAATGTGCAGGCTTTGGGAGACCAGTCGCATAGAGGGAACTTGTGACTCGGAGAGATGGGGACTGAGTCTGCCTTAAAGTTTAGGTCTAATACCACAAATGCAGTTGTGATGTCTCTGCTGTGGTAGAATTGGCTCCCAACAGGCATATTTAAAGTATTCCAAAGGGTCATATTTACATCGTGTTTAAATTAGCTTTGGCCCCCCACTGAAGGAGTAAGTTCGGAGTTGCCAGCTTTTTCTTCAAGACAGCAAGGTGCAAGGCTTTACTGCCCTGTGAGGGAGAGGGAAGGCAGCAACCTGATGGGAGCATTAAGAATACTGCTGCTTATTTTTGCCTTTAGGGGGAGACTCCCTATAGCTTCTGGGGTGATGTGACCATGCAGTGACTAGCACATCAGGACAGGGGCTGCTGCTGCACTGCTAAGGTCAGGCTGAGAAAACACAGAGCCAAAATCAGACCTGGGCACAGACTGGGTATTGGAGCTGCCTGACGGCTCTTCTGTGCCTCTGCTGGCCTGGCCCTTCCCTGCATAGCTGGGATACCAAATTACTGGTACATAGCAAGCTCAGGACTCGAGGAAATCCCAGTCCCTTTTTTTTTCTCCTTAATCTCAGCCAGCAAGTGTGTGCTACACAGCCCAGAATGAGAATGGAGGTGGCTCCAAGGTAAGCAGCTTCATGTAGGACACACTGGTCAAGTAGCAGCCACGGGAACACAGCGAAGCTCACCAAAGCAGCATGAAACTGAGTTTTACAGATTCCTGTGCACTTCTTGACAGTGCCTGAGCAACTTTCAGAGCCTTCCCTGTGTTCCGTTGCTACTTGCGAACAAGTCTTAAGAGAGCACTTGTAGCAGGCATTGCTGCCTTCTAGAGTGGGTAAAGGTGAAGAGAGTTGTTCCAGTTATTTCAGAGAAAGTCTCGGTTGAGGGATAGATGGCTGCTGCTCTGGTGGGAGCAGCTCTGCCAGTGCTGGCCATCCCCCTGATCTGTGGGGAGCAAGCATTGTGGCTGAGGTGGGACACGGTGGGGGGGGCCCTGACTGCCATTCTCCCACAGCCCCTGCTTGCTGCTGCCAGCGGAGCTCACCTGCCTGCTCCTGCGGTGCTGGCATTGGCAGCAGGGGTCTGCTCTAGGCTGTGCGCTGCAAATATTCCTGCAGGAACAGTTTTTCGGTAAATAATTTAAATAAAATTTAAATCAGGCAGTTGAAAGACTTGTTTCTCCCTAAAAAGCTATTTAGGAAAGAATGCTCTGTTTGCAGTAGGTTTATTTTAGGATCCTTTTTCATACTGTTATTGTGCAGAACCCACTTTAAGCAGTAGCTGCTCATTTTACTGTAGCTCTGAGGAGTCCCTGCCTGTCTGAATCACACACGGTAGCTGCGGAGGGTCTTTGTGCACGTCAGGAATGCAGTGCTGGAGCTAACACCTTGAGCAAAACAAGGGGCAGGGGCATCTGAACCAACTGCTGAGAGAGCTCGTGCTTGGCTGGAGAGTGAAGGATGTGTTATTTTATTTTAAGTGGTCCATTTAGGGCAGCACGAGGAGGTTCAGTGTGGTGGGCACCTGGTGTTGTGCGTGTGGAATTTTCAAAGAAAACTGCCACAGGCCAAACACTTCATCCAAATTCAAATCTGTACTTAGAAGGGCAGCTTTTAAAAAAAAAAAAAAAAAGCCAAATGCCTGACACAGACCAAAAGGATGAGGAGTCCATTGAAGAGAGCTGGCAGGAGAGTCTGAAACCTGTAAAATCAATGCCTACAGCATTTCCCCCAGCTTTCTTCAGTTAAAAGAAAGAGCTGTCCCAAGAGAACTTTGAAGATACCAAAGCATTGTTGCAGTCTAAAAAACTCTATCACGCTTACATGAAGGTATTTAGAATAAGCTGCAATACATTAGATTTCTTCTCAATTAAAGTACTCGAAACGGCAGAAGTAAGAGAATCAAAGCCTTTACCGAACAGATAGACATTCAGGAAATCTCTGTACAACAGATAGGTTAGCAGGAGCTTACTCAAACAGGCAGCTAAGCTCTTGTCTTCTGCAGGGAAGAGGAGAAATCTTCATCGAGGAGGTGTGTTAAACCACATGAAAGATGGACAGACATAAGTAAGCAACTACAAAAAATGGTTGCCTTGAAAACAAGTCTTTCTGGTGTGCCCCAGGCCAGGGCTCTGAACAGCTGAATTCCAGTGAATTCCAGGGAAAGAAAAGGGAATTTGGGACTTTTTCCTACCCAGATGTTTGGTGTGGAGAAGGCATTAGTTCCCCTTAGTCACACCATAATTGTTACTAACATTAAAGAAGCCTCGTGATGCTCCTGGCTGCTGCTGAATGGGTAGAGATAGTCGGGTCTACCGACTGCCCCAGCCCTGGAAGGAGCGACGGTGAGACCCCAGCCCACCCCAGTCCCTTCCCGACCGCCCACCTCCCACCTGCATGGGGACGAGCGGCTGCGAGCCAGGCAGGAGCGACCAGCGAGGGAAGCCGGAGGGCTCGCAGCGCGGATGGATGCGATGGGGGCTTGGAGAGCAGCGCCTGGCACGTGGCTGCAGCACGGCCAGCGTCCGCCCCATCTGAGCGAGCTTGTTCTGCTGCTGCTGCTTCCGTTCCCCATGTCTCAGCTCACCTTTTAGGCAGATACAGACACGACAGACAGACATGCACACATTGTCCACGAGGAGAGAGCGCGGCGCACAAACACTTGGCATGAGTCTCTGTACAAACGCACCGAGCGCATTAGGACCTGCAGCAGCTTGAGCCTCTCACTTCCTTCTTCACGTAGTCATGGAGCTTGAATTTGGGCTCGTTGGGCAGCTTCATGGACCTGTGCTTCAGTTCTCTGCGGGAAGGGGAAAAAACCGTTACTTTACTTTTCTGCCTACGCTGCCTGCTTCTAAGCTGCCTGGCCCAGCTCAGTTGAACTTGACTTGGTCTAGATGGTTTGCTGAAGCTCCCCCGATGAGACATTTCATCTCTCATGCGAGACAGCAAGTACTTGCCAGCACAAGAGCTGAAGGTGGGAGCCCAGGGAATGAAAAGGTGGGTGACAGTGCCAGCCTTTATCTCAAAGACTGCTGTCCCCCCCGTGGGAGAGGTGCCCAGCACGGCCGCCACACCAGTCACTTACTTTGCAATGGCTGTGAACGCTAATTCAACATTGAGGCCACTTTTTGCGCTGGTCTCCATAAAGGGCACTCCGTACTCCTGCGGGACAAGACACACCGGCATCACAGACATCGCCCGGGGGGTTCCCGGGGGCTCCCGGCTCGTGCTGAGCCCCGCCCGACATTGGTGCCTGCGGCAGGAGCTCATACCCCGCGCTGGGAGAACTCTGCCGTGGTGGGCAGGAAAAGCTGAGCGAGGGTTCACAGCTCAGGCGTTTCTTACACAACTTTGGAAATAATTTTTGAGGACAAAGAGGTGAAAAACATTAGTGGAAGCTTCGAGGAAGTAGAGCAGTTGAGGAGGAAGAGGAGAGCAAGACAAGGGAAGAAAAGCAAAGTGCTCCCAGACCTATTTTGGGTCAGACTGGTCTCCAGTTAACCATTTCACTGGTGTACATCATCAAGTACATGCTGGCACACTTGTACATCCCCAGTCAGAGCATATAACAACTGACTTGGCTGCAGCAGACGGACACCTCACATACCTTGGCTAATTTTTCTCCATCTTCCCTTTTCACCACTCTGTCCTGGGCTGAATCCACCTGCCGACAGTAACGGCAAAGAGCAAATTGGGATGATTTGGAAGGTCACCAGCAGGCAACCCCTATGTCCCCTTATGACCTCCCAGGCTCCTCTGCCCATGGCTGCAGCGTGGCCCCATCACGGGACCATCAGGGGAGGAAGAGGAGGCTCTGGCGAAGCTGTGGGGCCAAGCTCACCTTGTTTCCCAGTAACATCAGGACCACATCTTGCTGCGCGTATTCATGAATCTCTGTCAGCCAAGCCTGGAGGAAGACAGCCAGAGAGAGGGGTTAGCAACAGCTCTGGGAGGAGGAGGAGGAGGAGGAGGAAGGATGGGGGGCTGCCCTGGTCCTGGGCACCAGGCACCCTCTGTGGGAAATGCTGCCGTCCCTGAGCAACGCCAGGTGGGCATTACGGGGACACAGAAAAGAGGTGGCTGGGGGTTAGATGCAAAACAAAAAGCCCAGCTCAAACTCGGCTGCACAGGGCGGGAGCTGCAGGCAGGGAGCAGCCGGTCCCACAGGTCCCCTGCGGTTCAGCAGCACCCTGGGGAGAGGAGCTGCCTCTTCCCCTGCGGTTCGGCAGGAGAAGCCAGCCAGCAGCCAGCGACTTGGCCCTGTGGATGAGCGGGCGCCCTGGGGTGCCACCAAGCCCCGGGGGACCTGCTTTGCCAAGCAAGCCTGGCACCCCACTTTGGCTGCTGACCGAGCCCCAGTTTTCAAGGACAAGAGCAGCCTTTCAACCCTGCTGCCCACTCCAGCTGACCACAGGCGCTTGTAGGACTTTAACCCAAATTCCCCCTCAGATGGGACATTAAGAGTAAACCTCTTTTTGGAGGATAAGGCTGAGGGTTTGCTCCAGGACGTGCCCCACACCCATGTCCTGCATGTGCTGCCCTCGTGCCAAGCACACTCGTCCCGGCAGGCAGCTGAACCTGCTTCCCCAAGCCGTGGGGTGGCTTCCCTGCCCTCTAATCCAGCCTAATCTAATCAAACCTGCCCTAATTCCCTGTAATCCCTGACCCTGCGGTGCGAGCAGCCGCTTGCTGCCTGCCAGGTGGGCAGCACTGCTGCAGCCCTTGCCCCAGCTCCAAGCACCGACGCTGGGCTCGCAGCAAGCGCCGGGCGATCCCCGCTCCACCGCTGCTCCTTGCCCAGCAGCATCCCGCATCAGCACCCAGCCAGCCAGGGAAGCAAGGTGTGATTCAGGATTAGAGCCTGTCACTGATTTTACACAGGAGCCCAACACATGTGGATGCAGCCCTGGGAGCCCATCACACCCTGGCTGGGCTCAGGATGCTCAGCTCCATGGATGTGTTGGTCCAAGGGACACTCGGTCACTGCTGATAACCCCCCTCGGGCTCCCTTCTGGCACCGCTCCCCCTCCATCCCTCCTTCCAGCACCTCGCAATCGCCCCTGGGTGCTCGTTCCGCCCTGCCGGGGCTGCGTGTGCCCCATGGACGTCCCTCCCGCAGCTGTCCCTCCCGTGTCCCCATGGGGCCAGGAGAGCTGATGCTGCAGATGGGGCCGTGTTACCCAGCAGCGTGAAACCTCCAGACAATTTTCTGTCTTGTTGCAGGATCACAACCTCAGTGCAGATCCACAGCCTGGTTAACGACCAGCACTCACTCTCCATTACGCCCGGCAACAGATGCCTCTCCTCAAGCCATCCAGCTCCTCGGGCTGGAAAATGCCACTGCTGACCAGTCCCAGCTTGCGGGAAGCATTCCCAGTGCTGGTGACGTGGGAACAGGGTGGCAGGATGTGTCCCGTCCCCCACCACAGGGCTGCGGGCATGGGGCAGGGGGGCAGGCGCAGGGCTGCCAACAGAAGGATGCTCCGGAGCAGGGATAGCTCCAGGCACTTCGGACCAGGCGGTCAGGGGGTCCAGGGTGGCGCAGGACCCCCTGGGAGCTGGTGTGGTGGATCACGGCTCCCCACACGCAGCCCCGGGGTGTTAATGCCGCACGGCACCTCCTGCGCTATCGAACAGGGTGTTTTTGCAGGCACGCAGCCTGCTCGCCGCAGACGCAGTGTACTCCGTGTCCAGGACATGAGCAATTACATCCTATTCCTTCAGGGCTAATTGCTCCCCAGGCTCATGGCACGCTCTGCCGGTGCTGGTGTAGGTGGCCCCCAGCAGCCGCACGGGTCCGGCAGGGCAAGGGGAGGGGATGCAGGGCCAGCAATGTGCCCACGGTCAGCATTTTCTCTCCCCCACTCTGCCAGATTTAACGGAGCCCTCTGCTCCCACACTGCTCCCCAGTACCCCTGAAGCACCCGCACGGGGGGGGGTGTGCTGGGTCTGTGGGGAGGGGGCAGACTCGGGCAGCACAAGGGACCCCCGCAAAAGCTGTCAGGAAGGGCAGGTCTGCTGGGGGTGAGGAGCGTGCAGCAGGATGCGACCCTCTCCCCTGCCTGGGTTCGGCACTAAGGCGGGTGGGGGCAACCTGAAGGTGCGGAGGAGAACGAGGGAGCACCTTGCTGGGTAAAGCTGCCCGTGCTCATCTACTGAAGCAAGTTCTCCAGCCGGTGCTGTAATTACACACAGCATTAATTTGCCAGTGAAGTGAATCCATCACCCCTTTTATTTGCTATGAAAAGGAAAACCTTCTCTGCCTGTCCTCTGGTGTCCTTGTAGGCAGACCCGCCGTCAGACAGGCGCTCGGCATTAACCACAGCCCTTCTGGAAATGATCGCGGTTCACATCTCCGACACACATCTCCTGCAGCACGTATCCCCTCCCCGGTGCCAACTCGCAACCGCGACCCGGCCCATCGCACACGAGGGATGGGCAGGAGGGGTCCGGGGGTGCTGCCGTACCTGGATGTTGTCGAACGACGCTTTGTTGGTGACATCGTAGAGTAGGAGCAGGGCTGCGGAGAGAGGGACGGTGCGTTAGTGCCGGTGCCCTGGTGCCGGACAGGAGCACGGCCAAGCAGAACCCACGGCTCAGGGCTTGATCCCACCGTTCCCTGAGGCAGCGCACCCCCCGCTGCGGGTCACGCCTGGGGACGCGGCATTAAAGCACCGCTGAGGTCCCTGCTCTAAAATAGAAAGCAACATGCTTAAATCCACCCCAGGCAATGCCTTGGACTCCTGGTGTTTGCACCTCGGCACGCAGAGGCTCCTCCATCCTTGGCGGCCGCTTCTTACAGGGAAAATGCTCTGGCGATTCCCGACTCATCTGGCCTGGAGTCACAGCTCGGGGCCCCGAAGAGCCAGAGGGAGGGGGGGGTCCCCCCTGGGGGAAGCGGAGGTGGCCGTGCTTACCGTGGGCATCCCGGTAGTAGGCGTGGGTGACGCTGCGGAAGCGCTCCTGTCCGGCCGTATCCCAGATCTGGAAGGCAGATGGGAGCAGAGGGGTCAGCCACGACCCGCCGCCGCGTGGGCTGAGGGACCTGCCTAGCACCAAAACCAACCCCAAACCAAACGGCACGGTGCAACCCCAGGGAGCTTCTGCAGCCTTTTGCTTCTAGGGACAGCAATAGGAAAAATAGTAAGTGCAATAAATACTGAAGCAGCACCTTCCCGCTCCTCAGCACACGGAGACGACGGTGTGTGGCAAAGGGCTCCTGACATGTCCCTTAATCGGAAAATCCATCCAGCAGATGGATGTGTGGGGACCCGCTAATTTAATTTATCAGTTTTTAATGCAGCAATACATTTGCAGAGTGCCACACTGCTGTCGGGGGAAGATCAGTGCTAATGTCGTTATTGAGCTCCTGGTACAGGGGTCAGAGAAACAGTTGGGTCTCGGGGGGGGGGGGGGGCTCGGGGGGGGGGGGGGGGGGAAGAAATCTCCTGCATGTCCCACAGGCTGGATGCAGGCTGAGCCAGGGGACACGGATCCCTTTGGAGGATCTTGGTCCCTCTCACCATACTCCAGGTCTTCCAAAGCAGGAGCTGCCTGGAAACACCGGGCAAACCCCACAGGCACTGCTCCGGTCTCACCGGCTCTGGCTGCAGTCACTGAGCGACAAGGAGGCAGGTGGGCTGGGGGTGACCACAGCCAGAACAGCCCCCAGGCTCGAGCAGGGTCCTGCTGAGGGGATAGAGCAGCCAAAAGGACTCGTAAGGCTGCCCTGGGGCGGGAGACGTGACGGCAAAGGATGGAGATGGAGATGGGGGACCCGCTTCTGGGGTGCTCCTCTGCTGAGGGGCTTTGCCCAGCCCCAAACACCCAGGGCGGGGAGACGAGGGGGCTGCTACCAGGGCCACAGGGACATACCTGCAGCTTCACCTTCACCCCATCCACCGTCAGCACCTTATTCTGAAAGAGAAGAGAAAGGGTGGTGAGGGGCAAGCGCAGCTGCAGGACGTCAAGGACCCCGGGGAGACACGCGCACCCCAGACCCCCATCCCGGGCGACGTTTCCCCCCGAACCCTCAGGCCGATCTCCTCTCCCCGCTTTTTAAACTTGCATACATTGGTCCCAGCGCCTGTTGGAGTCATTTGCACCGTGGCCCAGCCAGAAGATCACTCCCTGCGTCTGCTGCAAGCTACATCTATTTGGACACTTAAATCCTCGCGTCTGCGAGGCTGATTTAGTGCAGTGTGCGGCTCAGGCTAGAAGACCTCTGGCAATAAATTAATGAGCACCAGCATCTCATCTTAATAGCCTTCAAAAGACACAGCCAACTACTCCATATTCAGGCAGCAACTTAAAAATAACTCCTCTTCCTGTGGTTTGTACTCATTTTTCTCCCAGTGAGCACCGGTTTCTTTCTCAGGGTTGGGGTTTTTTTTCCTGTTTTGTTTCTTTTTAGCAGGAAAGGTGGGAAGGAGGAGGAGAGGGGACAGTGCCCCTCCACACTGTCCTGCAGGATTTTCCCCAAAGCCAACAGGAAACTTTTTGTGACTGCCTGGAGCATGGCCTGGCAGAGCCGGGAGCAGTGCCGGGCGCGGGGAGAGCCCATCAGTGCCCCTCTGGGCAGCTGTGCCAGCCAGTGAGGACAGCGGACGGATGCTGACCGCATCCCGGTGAACTGCACCAGGCTCTCCAAACATCCATCAAACACAGTCCTAAAGATCCAGCAGTCCCAGGGGAAGAAGCAGAGAAGAGATTAATTTGCCTGCTAGATCCACAGAAAATAGCACACTAATCGGTAGGACGTGATGAAAACACAGCCCGGGAACAGTGCGCTGGCGGGACAGGGCAGCCGTTCGCTGCTCTGGTGATGACTGATTGAAATCCCATTTGCTCCGGAGCAGGCATGGGGTGCTCTCCCCTCCCCAGACGTGTGGCCATGGGATGGCCAGGGCTGCCTTGACCCCGGCTGGGCTCTGCCAGCTCGGCCCCGCTCCCCACCTTCCCCAGCACCGACCAGCAGGAGCACGGGCTCTGCACCAGCTCACCCCGCCGGCACTGGACACGCCACCACCTCCGGTGCCACCAAAACCCTTCCAGGCAAATGACAGCATACATGTGCCGAGAGCCATCCCTGCGCATCCCACGCCGCTCGGCACCAAGTACCAGGCATCTTGGGATGCCGGCGCCCAGCATCACCCTGCCAGGACAGTGCCTGCGAGGCTCTTAATTCCTGTTTTGATATTTTTAATCAGGGCAGAGGGAGCATCTCGGCTTCTGCACATCTATGCTTGCCGAATAGCAAGGATACAGCAAGGAGGAGAGGGCAGGAGCAAGCCAGAGCGCTAAATTTACACAGTCTGCTAAAGCAGGCGCAGGGGAGATGATCACGGTTTATAAATACCTTCAAAGGCAGCGACCGAGACGAGAGAGTGAAGTGATTCACAGCCCAGGAACGGTAAAAATAGGCAGCCAGGCTGCGGGGTGGGGGAGCCGAAAGGCGCTTGGGGAGCCGGCCAGGGGCTCAGGACCAGCTCGCTGTGCCCCATACACAGAGCCAAGGCTTTCCCCAGGACACAAAGCCGGGGCTGCTGAAGGCTTGAAGTGCTTAAAACTGAGGGTCCCCGCTGCTGCGAGGTGCTCCCAGTGCCTCTGCATGACGGCTCCTGGGCGAGCACGGCCACAAGCCGTCCCGGGGGTGGAAACGTGCACCACGGCGAATGGCGCTGAGAAAATCCGAGCGGACGAGCTGCACCTTCACCACCATCCCAGCGGACGGAGAACCACACTGCCAGGCACTCGTTTTGCGGGTGAGATGGGGCAGATTTACTTTCTGCAGAAGATCCGCTTTCTGAGCTCAGCTTGCCCTCCAAAACCCTGGGTCCTACCTGCAGGTCCTGGTGCTGCACCGGAGGCATCGGCACATCCCGCAAGGTACAGTGGCTGGGAGCTCCGGGCTCTGCACCAGTGCAATGCTCGTCCAAAGCCGTCCCCAGGCAGTGGCAACCAGCTGGTCCCTGGTCCCCCTGACCAGGGACTGCACCAGGGATGCCGTGCCAGGAGCTGCAGGGGAAGGAAAACACTCTGCGTTTCCCCATTAGCCCCGGAGCACCCAGCTGCTCCGGATCTCGGCACAAATGCCAAGAGCCCTCACGGGGGACGAAGATACTTGGTGCAATGGATGATGACAAGAGACGATGACACCGGGAGATTCACGTTAAAAACCACACCAAACAAGTGCCCTTCCCTGCGCAGCCCCACGGCCGCGCCGGCACCTCCAGCTCGGAGGAAAGTGTGTGCCGAGGGGCAGCCGTGCTTGGGGACGTGGCCATGTCCCCAGCGAGGCCATGCTCCACGAGTGACCGGCCACCGTGAGTGGGAGGGAGGGAGGGAGAACGTGACCCCAGTCCCAAGCATGGACCAGCCGTGCCAAAGAGACCACAAACATCTGGTGAACAGTCGAAAAAACTAAAGCTCCTTGTGCATCGACTTCCACTTCAGGAGCTTAATTAAAAGCCAAGCTGGCAGCAGCAGGAATCACACTAATTACGACTGACCTACATTTTAGGGGAGGAAATGCTTAAACCTAATTAAAGCCTGCACACGGACCCAGGTGCTGTTGGACCAGGCTGGGGAAAAAAACGGATTCCCTGGGGTTTCAGTGTGGAACAGAGCAGCATTTCAGGGCGAGTATTTGCAGGGATGCTCCTGCAGGCAGGAGACACAGTCAGAGCTGTCCGGAGCAGCGGCTTCTGCCTGCATCCCTGCCTGCATCCCTGCCTGCCCCCGAGCTCAGGGCAGCTGCAAAATGCGGGTGAAGAAGCCGAGCAGAAGGTGGGAGTAGCGGGGTGGGAAAAGGCAGGGGCTGCCGCCAGCAGCACACAACGGCTCCCGTCGGTGCCACATGAACCAGATGCCCAAGTCTTCCCCTATACCACAGCTAATAGACTTTCCAGCTTCCAATTATTATTATTTTTTTAAGGAGGTGCATTTCAATTCCACACTCACAGCCCTTCAAAGGCACAGCTGGGGGGTTTAACGACTAATACACATCCAAAGGCAAAAAAGGACGTGTGTCAATGCACTGAAACGTGAAATATGCTGCCAGGCCTGATCGCAATGAGAGGGGTTGTGTTGTTTGGCGTTCGTTCTTAATGTTGCACAGTTTAATATAATAGAGGTAATACTCACAGCAGGTCACCGGTTACGCAAAAGCAGCCAGGAAAGCCATCCCCGCAACTCAGCTCTGTTGTTGCCCTTTGCAATTTCAGTTTTTATGTGTCCTTTTTCCTGGGGCGTTGACAATGTTATTAAAATATCTTCTAGCAGGGGCTGCAGTGGAATGCCTGGAGAGCCTTTGTTGGAGGAACATGATGCCCATAAGTTAAATAATCCTCAGGACATCAGATAAATAAAGTTGGAACCTTGCAGATGCAGGAAAAATTAAATTACCAAGTGCAGATGGTCCTCAATTAAGAGCAGCGTTATCAGCACACCAAAGGCCCCTCTGGCTGCAGCCCCGGCACGATCCCACCCCAGCGACAGCACGAGAGCGGCCATTCGGAGCCAGACAGGAGGGAGGAGAAGGCGCCTGTGATGGAGCAAAAACCTCACTGTTCCCTGAAAAGTGCACCCTGAGACAGACAATGCTCCCACCCAAATCGAGGTGCCCCCACTGCCGGGCTGCTGCCCCACACTGCTCTCAGGTCAGCTGATGAGCGGCTGCAGTTTGGATAAAGCTGTTCCCTTGGTCCACAGGGTCCCCACGGTGCCGGTGAACCACACCGGGAGCGACCGGCACATTCCAGCCCATCCGCCCGCACCTGAGCCCACGCGGGCGAAGGCTGCAGCATAACCCAGGGTCAGCAATCGCACAACAACCCGGCCTCTCCCCAGCTTTTCCACACATTAACTTATTAATTAAAGCCTTAGAAATTAAATCCGATACATGGATTAACTTGCTCCACAATTAATCCTACAAACAGACAGCTGCTCGCTGACACCATTCAGGCTCCAACCAGGGGAACCCCTCACCCTGGCTCCCCGGACCCTCTGATGGGAGCTGGATCCAGCGATGCTTCCCAGGAGCACCCACCAGCACCCCCCCACCCCCCCAGACCATCCCCCTGCACAGATAGGCACTGCGCGGCACGGCACGTGCCAGGCACGGCTGCAGCCCTGCATGCGCGGCTGCAAGGGAGGGAGAGGGGACGGGCAGTGTTTGGGGACTGGCCGAGGGACTCCGGTGTGCCCAGCCTGCAGCCCCACTGCTCCCCAAACCATTGGGGTCGTCACCTGGAGAGGGGGAAGGACAGAAACCTGGGGGCTGCGGGGTCCCGGCAGGGACTGAGGGCACCCGTCCCCGTCGCCGCTGCCAGGGGCTGCGGCTGCACCAGCACCTCTGCTGCGGTGGGCTCATCCCCGGAGCCGGCGGAGGTCTGGCCCCCGGCTATCCCCATCTCCACTTTTATGATGGAAAAGAAAAAAAAACCCAAATGTCATTAGTGTGCTTTGGAGGCAGTCTCCGCAGCCGACTGGGGGTGAGTTCTTGCAGAAAGGGGAAAAAATTGCATTAGTGAATATACATCAAACCCAGCCAAAGGCAGCTAGGGCACTGGCTGAGTTAATTAGCGGCAGTAATGGCTCTGCTACGGGCTGCAGGACTGACACTGCAGCCACCCAGCAAACTTCATGAGGGCTGCGGCGTCACACGCCGGCTGGGGCCGGGTGGGTTGCCAGGTCCCCATTGCTGCTTGGGAGCACACGGGGAGCGGGTGATAGATTGGGGCATCCTTTATTTTAGGAAGCCAGGAGGAAAACAGCAGCACAGCGAGGGTGAGCTGGCTGGAGGGATGCTGGGGGACCCCAGCCCCATGCCAAGGCAGGACCCAGATCCAAATTCCCACTTGGCAAAGCCTGGTGAGCCCCCGCCGCCGTGAGCACAAATGCTCCTGTGCCGGGCG